TAAAATCGGGGTTTTCCTCCTTTACCAAGTGCAGGGGTCGGACACCCCACAAGCCCCTCCCTTCGATCCTGCCTTTGTGAGAAGACCTGGGGCACCGCTCCATGGAACAGCAAAATCGGGAGCTTGGGTGTTCTCCAGCCCAGTGGCCAGCCTGTCTTTTTTAAGGGACAGATCTGCAGCATTGCTGTTAGGGTAGAAAGGAGGGGTCACTGCCTACGGCCTGTTCTGGGGCTGAGGGCTTAGTATGAGGCCACCTCAGCTCAAGTGTTTTGAGTTCTGTGGCGCTCCGGATGAAAACCCAACAAGAATTTGTGAGAGACTGCCGCCCACAGGGCCCGCGCTCTGTGGTGACAGGCGACCACGCGCTTGTTTCACTTTTTGGGAAATATGATAAGAGGCTCGGCCCTGACCCCACAATGCTGGTGCGGGCTCAGAGAGGGCGGGTGGAGCTAGGGGCGGACCACCCCCGGCCTGAGGGCATGGTGCGTCACGGGGGCTTTCGTCCCGTTGGCGCCAGCTCCGACGTTTGCAGAGGAGATGGAGGGTTTTGGCAGCACACCATGTTGGTACACGTGGGGTCTCAGCGCCACCTCCCCTGTTTCAGGATGACGACTTCAGGTGCCCTGTTTCCAAGCCTGGTGCCAGGTTCCCGCGGCTCGTCCAACAAGTATTTGGTGGAGTTTCGGGCAGGAAAAATGTCACTGAAAGGAACAACGGTCACCCCGGACAAGCGGAAGGGGCTGGTGTACATTCAGCAGACCGACGACTCCCTCATTCACTTCTGCTGGAAGGACAGGACGTCGGGCAGCGTGGAGGACGTGAGTGTTTGCCAGCTGGGTGCGGCCGCGGCTGCTGGTGGGCGGCTGGGGTGGTCTTTGTGGCTTGGTTCTCGTGGGCTTGCGGGTTGGTGCCCACCATCAGCCGTTTCACTTGCTCTTGGAGCCTCCCAGTCTCGACAGAGATGTAGTTGCCCACTGCTGCACACTTCAGCTGTCGGGGGTGAGGTGGCATTTTCATCTCTGTAAAGCCTTGAGAAAGCTCCGTGTGCTAGTAGTTTACTTAGCATTTTCTGTTCCTCAGGATAAATTGTGTCTTGTTATATCGGAGAGTAGGTCAGAGTTGATGTTTTAAGTGTCCATAAAAGTAAATGGTGTTGATACTGAAAGTTTTTAAAAATCAGAATCCCTTGAGTGAAAAAAAGCTAGTCTTCAAAGGGTGATGACATGGGACCTGCGAACTGTTAAATACTTTTTTTGAGATCCAGCAGCCCACCTTCCGTGTTGCCACCTGAGCCCCTATGCGTGCCTGCCCCCACAGCCTCCCCCCAAGGGTCTGCCCTTACGGTGGGTGTCTGAGGCTGGCTCCTCCGCCCCGCGGAGACCCTGATGGTGAGGGGCTCTGGTGACATGTCTTACGCACTGACACGCGGTTCACATGTCTTTCTGAGCAAGTCAGGAGCAGCGCAGGTTTGTTTGCGTTAAGCTTCCTCTTCCCCCCGTGTCCCTCCGTAGGACTTGATTATCTTCCCTGATGACTGTGAATTTAAGCGGGTGCCTCAGTGCCCCAGCGGGAGGGTCTATGTGCTCAAGTTCAAGGCAGGATCCAAGCGGCTCTTCTTCTGGATGCAGGTAGGTGGGAGGTTCTGCCTTTTCCCACTGTCATGGGATAGGTTGGGAACTCGGTACAGAGAATAACCTTGGACATGCTGTTCCCGTTGTCATCTGTACGTTAAAGTCGGGAAGTGGCTTTCTTGTTCAACAGGTATTTGTGCGTTTGTGGTTCCGACACAGACCTCCACGGGCCCTCTGGAGGCTGCCCCCCACACACACCCCACCCCCCAGCACTAGAGCAGGGTGGCAGCTGTTTCTGGGAAGGACCAGGGAGGAAACATTTCCTGCTCTGTGGGCCCCACAGTTTCTGTTGCGACTACTCAGCTTTGCCACAGCAGCTCCAGAGCAGCCATGGCCAGCGTGTGCGTGAGTGGGTGTGGCTGTGTGCTGATAAAACTTTATTGACATAAACAGGTCGGGGGCTGTGGTGGCCACCTCCAGCGGAGAGTGTGTTTCTCTGCAGCTTTGCTGGTGGAAGTTGACAGGCTCTGATTCCACTTTTTATTCTTCCTGACTGTGCTCTCGTTTGCCGTCTGTCTTGCCCTGTTGCCAAGCAGGCAAGAACCATTTCTTGTCCTTGCTCTGTCCCAGGTGCCATGCCATGTAGGGTCCACGGCATGTGCCTGGTGACTGTTGACTCTGCCTCTCGGTTCTGGGAGAGACGCTGCCTGATGACCCCCTGTCCCCTGGGCTCCCAGCTCTGCTCTGTGTCTAGCCCGGAAGGGCTGCCAGGGCTGGTTCTTGAGCATCGTGTGCTGAAGGCAGTGTAGGAGGAAGGACATGTGTTGTGGGACCAGCTGAGGCATGGAGGAACAGGGAGGAGGGCCCGTGGGTGTTGATGCTGTGTGCCCATCTGGAAAGGGGGTGCCATTGTAACTTCAGTGAGCTTGCAGGGCTGGGGCATGGGGCAGCCTTGGGTCCCTCACCTGTGAGTGGGGCCACTGCCGTCGGGCTGGCCCGGGACTCTGCCACGCTGTCGCTGTTTCCCCCAGGAGCCGAAGACGGATCAGGATGAGGAGCACTGTCGGAAGGTCAATGAGTACCTGAACAACCCCCCGATGCCCGGCACGCTGGGGGCCAGCGGCAGCGGCAGCCACGAGCTCTCTGCACTCGGCGGTAACAGCTCGGGCTCCACGTGCTGTGCTGGTCGGGGTGGGGGCTCAGACACAGGGCCTGGTGGGCCGGCGGCCGCTCGGTGCTAGCGGAAGTGGAGCAGTCTAAGCTAGAAGCTCCTGCAGTTCCTGGTCAGCCCCGGTTGTCTTCATAGGCAGGCGTTCCCCTGGCCGCCTCCTTTCAGGGGTGACCAAGCAGGGTGGGGTGGGCAGGGCATGCTGAGCACCTTCTGTCTTCTGGGGGGACCTACGGGACACATGGGGCGGGCTGGGTGCGCTGAGCACCTCATGTCTTCTGGGGGGACCCACGAGCCGGGTGGGGCGGGTGGGGCGCTGAGCACCCCCTCTCTCCTGCAGGTGAGGGCGGCCTGCAGAGCCTGCTGGGAAACATGAGTCACAGCCAGCTCATGCAGCTCATCGGACCGGCTGGCCTGGGAGGACTCGGTAACTGCCCGGCCACAGTGGGGCCCAAGTGGGGACACCCCTTGCTGGGAGTGACACTCCTGACGCGTTCCTGTGCTCCCCCTGTGGGGCTGGAGTTGTATGCAGGCCTCCGTGAGGACCCCAGCCCTGTGCTGAGGGCAGGCCGAGGCAAGGGGCCCACTGGCCGGCTTGCCTGTGCCACCTTGTACCTGGGGGCTGGGCAGGTGTGTTTCTGGGCAGAAGTAAGTGCTTGTTGCTGGGGGCAGGCCGAGGCATGGGGCCCCATTGGTTGGCCTGCCTGTGCCGCCCTGTACCCGGGGGCTGGGCAGGCATGTTCCTGGGCAGAAGAAGGAAGTGCTTTTTGCTGGGGGCAGGACCTGGACTGCATGTTACCTTTGAGTCTTTGCCTGAGCATGTGACTGGGGGGGGAAGAGAACAGAAATGGTCTGGCTGAACAGAAACTTCTAGAACACTGTGCTCGGGGCTGCCCCAGCCCCTGCCCTGCTCCGCTCGGGCCCAGTGCGTTCGCCGTGTCCAGAGGCTGTGTGGGCTGTCGCCTCCCCTGCCCGTCGTCTGGTTCGTAGTGGAAGCATCTGTTCTTTCGGCCTGGGGCAGGAGGTCCGCTCTTCCTGGGGGGCTGGGCCGGTGACGTCCTGAGTGCTGTCTTTCTCGTTCCTCGTAGGTGGGCTTGGGGCCCTGACTGGGCCGGGCCTGGCCAGCTTACTGGGGAGTGGAGGGCCTCCGGCCAGCAGCTCATCGTCCAGGTGAGCCCAGGCCTGCCCCCCTCCCCACCCACGAGACTGCGTGTCCTTCCCTGAGGAAGACTCGGCACGGGACCGTGGATGGGGTGCGCGTGTGTGGACGCACCTAGTCGCATGCTCAGGCGCTGTGGCGTCCTCTCCCCGCCCTCCCACCAGCTCCCGGAGCCAGTCAGCTGCCGTCACCCCCTCCTCCACCACCTCTTCTGCCCGCACCACCCCAGCCCCTTCTGCACCAGCAGCCGCCTCTGCGACCAGTCCGAGCCCCGCGCCCAGTTCAGGTAATGGAACCAGCACAGCAACAAGCCCAACCCAGCCCATCCAGCTGAGTGACCTGCAGAACATTTTAGCCACTATGAACGTGCCAGCGGGGGCAGGCGGCGGCCAGCAAGGTAAAGGAACGCGTGCTGTCAGCTTGAGGCTGGGTGACGGTGCCTACCGCCCTGCCCGCTCTCGCGCGCTCTCCAGGGCATGGGCACAGCATGTCCCTGGGCAGTGCAGTGACGGAGACCAGCCCCACCCTTGCCTGTCCCCTCTTTTGCCTGTCTCTTCACGCGGCCTGGAGTCTGGTGCTATTTGCCTGGGAGGGTGCCCAGGCCCAGGTGCGGCCGCTGACGGCTGTGTTTGCGTCCTAGTCGATCTGGCCAGCGTGCTCACGCCCGAGATCATGGCGCCCATCCTGGCCAACGCCGACGTCCAGGAGCGCCTGCTGCCCTACCTGCCCTCGGGGGAGTCTCTGCCCCAGACCGCGGAGGAGATCCAGAACACGCTGACCTCCCCCCAGTTCCAGCAGGTGACATCCCGGCCTGGGCGTGCCCTCACCGTGCTTGGGGGGAGGCGGGGGTGAGCCATCAGTGCGCCCCAGCCCACAGTAAGCCTGGTGAGGGTGACAGCTGTGGGCCCCTGTGGGCCCCTGATGCCTGGTGCTCCAGCTCTGGTCTCCCTGCAGGCCCTGGGCATGTTCAGCGCGGCCTTGGCCTCGGGGCAGCTGGGCCCCCTCATGTGCCAGTTTGGCCTGCCAGCGGAGGCCGTGGAGGCTGCCAATAAGGGCGGTGAGTGTCCATGCTGCCTCCTTGCCTGTGCACCGCCCGACCGTCCTGGGGGTGGGGGGTGCTGTGCCCTTTGTGCCTGTCCTGGGGGAGAGCTTAGAGAACAGCCTTGGGGTGTTAATCGTGTTTTAGATGTGGAAGCATTTGCCAAAGCTATGCAGAACAGTGCCAAGTCAGAGCCGAAAGAGGGCGACGTGAAGGACAAGAAGGACGAGGAGGAGGACATGAGCTTGGATTAAGTCATCTGGGTGTCTGAGGAGCGGAGAGGCTCCGTAGTGGTAACTTCAGTAGTGGCGTTTGTGGCTCCTTGCAGACCTTTGCATCTGTCTAAACTTCCTCATAAATAAAAGTCTTTTCTTTTACCCGCTCACTCTGGTGGTCTGTGTGCTCGCCCAGGGGAGGCACCACCCCTGGCCCAGCTGTGTCTGGTCTACAGCTTCGTGAGGACCATGTACGAGCTGTTCCGGGAGTGTCGGGCAGCTCCGTGCGGCGGACGGGGGCGTCCACGGCCACGCCAGTGCCAGCCCACACTCCCAGCTGTTGGTTTTGATCGAGACGAGGTCAGCACTCTGTCCAACAAGTTCCTTTTAATTTTCGTTTTTAAAAGCGGCGACCAGTGACGGACGTATAACTCTCTAACTGCTTTAAAATTGGCGGAAATCAAAGTTCACGATTAAACCAATTGAGAGAAAAGTACAAAAACTGCATTTTATCAGTCATAACTTAAACTGTTCCCGGAGACCCGTCACCCGCAGATTTAGGGACTGGGGAGATACACACGAAGGCTGGCGCCACCTGGCCGCCCTCCTGGCCCGGGGCGCGGGGCCCAGGGCGGCTGCTGTGTGGGATCCACAGCAGGAGAGACCTGAGGCCAGGTCCAGGGGTCCCCTGGGGGTGGCTGCACTATGTGATCGGGCAGCCGCCAGCCCCCACGGCCCCCTGGAAGCGTGAGTGCCTCATGGCGACGGGGGCCCCGTTGATGAGCAGATTCCTCATGCAGCCGAGGTAGACGGGGGGCCGCGGGGGTGTGTCTGTGAGCTCTGGGGTGCAGGGAGAGAGGGAGGAAGGCTGCTGGGAGCAGAAACAGAATCGTCTGCCCGCCCGCTAGCCCCCCAACCTCGGTTGGCCCCCCCCACCACCCAGGCCACAGCCGCACTCACTGGGCAGGCCCCCGAGGTGCAGAGGTGTGAGCGCGTGGGCAGAGGCCCAGGTGACGCCCAGGGTGTGATTGCTCAAGTCCACCTGCAGCCGGATTGAGGCCCCGCTCTTGGTCACTGCAAACACAGGGTCCTTGTGGCCCAGAAGGTCCCAGCCCGCCTACCGTGCCCCTCTTGCCGGGGTGGGGGTGGGAGGTTGAGGGGGACTCCCGTGTACCAAGGGCTTGGTCTTGCGTGCTCCCCCCTGGGGGTCCCGTCTGGCTCCGCCCTGTGTGCAGGAGCAGGCTCACCTGCGAGGCGGTGCCACTGCCCGTCACACAGCACAGTGGGGTGCGTCACCAGCACGGAGAACTCGCCAGCCCCGTCGTCCCCCAGCAGCAGGACCTGTGGGGGTGGCGAGTAGGAACGGGGAGGGTCAAGAGGGTCCACCCACCCGAGTCCATGGCCTGGGGCTGCGCCCCTCCAGCTCACCTGCTTCTCCAACACCTGCAGCTGCATGTAGGGGGGTGCCTGCACCTGGCCCAGGTGGAAGACCAGGCCGCTGGCAGCCTGGGGCCGCACCTCCAGCTCCAGGCCCAGGCCAGGCCCTGGCGCCGCTGGGTGGTCTGCAGAGAGAAGAGTGAGGGGAGAAGGCCGGGCCCAGGCCACAACCCAGCGCCCCCAGGACCTGGCTGGGACCCTCCCTCCTGGGCGCTATCCCACCCCACCCTGGACTGGGGGGGCACACAGGAGTAGGGTGCCTGCGCCCACAGACCTAGAGTGATGACTCCCCCGCTGCTGGCAAAGAATAGGCCCGCCTCCAGGGGGCCTGAGTAGCAGGGTGTGACCCCCATAATCCGTGTGGGGGGCCCCAGCGGCCAGCTGTCCAACTTCAGTGTCTTGACACAGCCGCTGAACCCCAAGCCACCAAAGGCCACCTGTGGGGACAGAAGAGCAGGGGCTCAGGCCCCGGGGTAGAGAGAAAGTGGACCACTGTGGGCGGGGCAAGTTCTCACCGACAGCCGCGAGTGGTGGCCACCAGGCGGGAGGCCTCCCACAAAGAAGGTGCTGGATGGGGGGACCTGCATGCCCTGGTGCTGGTGGCGGGCGCCTTTCTGTCTCTGGGTCTGGTTCCTGCTGTCTGTCACCAGCTGGATCCCTCTCGGCCCCCAGTGCAAAGACACCTGGGGCAGGTGGGTTGTGTCAGGGAGGCCGACACCTTGCCCGGCCCACCCCCGACTCGAGGCTCCCTC